AAATGTTCTGACAAGGCCATCACTACGAAAGAAGGTAGATGGTCTTTGGATAGTTTCTTCAGTGCAAACACCCAAATCCAAGTGCATCGTGATCTCAAATGTGGGTTGATCAACGACTATTTGGAAAATTGTCTACTATGACCTGAGCTGCTGCCTAGTAACGAATTTTTCGCCGCAAAGGCAGTTTTTAGATTGACATTGGTGACATCAGGTCCTGAACATGTGAATTGGGTCTCACTGAGCTTCTCTAAACTTACTTTTGCTGGTATCGCATCCAAAGCTGTTACTAGCAATGTCTGAAAGAACACACTTGGCAGTGAAGGTTACGAACAGAAAATACAGTTGTAGGATGCATACCGCTCCAAGCACAAGAAGTTTCATCCTTAACGGAAGTTGAATGTGGCTTTGGCTTAGACTCACCTTTTATACACCTACCATTAGTCGCGTACAACCAGCTGGAGTAATACAGCTTTTAGTACTAGATCAAGTAAATGAGACTCTAAATCGTGGTTGATCAAATACTACTGTTGTAATTTCTTAACGTGAATGTAGGTGGTTGTCACAACAGCAGCTGCATTTTGGGTTTCAGACTGGACGGAAATCATCTAAACATCGTTCTGCACTTTAGACAGGGTCTCCCAGTAAAGATATATAATCCTGGAATCACCGTTAATATTGAAAATTTGGTTTGTAGCCCACATTTCATGTGAAGTATACATCCCTGATTTGTTTTAAGCTTTTTTGCCTTTTCATCCAAACTGCTGAAAAATTCATCTCAAATGTCTTTCGACAGTTACACTGTATCAAACAGCTTGCTACAGAAGTTTGTCGGTACATATAGATGATATACAAATGGCATTACGAAAAGGACTTTCTGTGTAAATCCTCATTTGGCTTCGTAATGGATAGTTCTGAATAAATATTATGGGATTTACTGTCATAAAAATGAGTTCGACCTATGTTTGTTTGAGATTTCTGACACCCAAAGGGCATACTGATTTTAGCACAAGTACTACAATATTTGCTTAGCCGTTCAGAACGTTTAACGAATTTTAGCTATTAATTTGCTTCTTCTTCTAATAAAACATAGCCAGTTCTAGCCAATTGTCACTTTTTGTATCGAGTCATTAGGTCCGTGAAGAATATGCATTACCCATTATCGTTGCACTTGAAGTTGTCCTTTCGTACCAACTGGCGGTCATAAAAATCCAGAAGCTAAATTTGGATTTTTTTCATAAAAAATTGTAGTGCGGGTATCACAGGGTGAATTCAAGGTTCACTTCTTCGATTTCACAAGTCCAAGAAATTATTTGAAACGAGGTTGGGGAAGTATTTCTGCGCACCTGCTGCCATACATACTTCTAATTACAAATGCCTACTACCAGCGTTGTTTTTTATGTGAGATTTATAGAATCAGATTCATTGCACATTGCATGAAATGACCATCAGTGTACAGCAATACCGCGAATGTGTAAGTGAGGGCGCACGCACGAACAAAGGTATCTGAACAGAGTTTCTGAAAACTGAGAAACTTCTGAGAATTTGCTTGTACGAATTGCATCACCTAGACCAAATCTTATTCGGAAAAGACCGATGTCGGTTTATAAAGGACTTCGTAACAGCGTGATTTTTTTTACTACCGTAAACCACCAAAGGTGTGCACGGTTTTTTTGTATGGATTCGCGTAGTGGTGTGTGCTTACCGGATAAGAAATATTATTGCTGTACACTTTAATAACACTGCCTGTGTACGATGCACGAAGCTACTTGCAAGTTATTTTGTGAGAGAAAAAAATTGTGGAAAAGTGTGAATGTAAGTGGCCGGGTACTTGTAACAAGATCTTGATGGGAGAGCAAGTTGTTGATTAATGATGAATATGTTATATTGCTTACAAAGTGCTGCAAAAACTTTTATTTTATACGTGGTATATTGATTTGCAACTTTTTTCTTAGAGATAATACCTGTTGTCACATCGATGTAAACTTAGGATCAAATAATGTCTAGGAGATCTCCCAATAAAGTGTAAAATACGGAGTGATTTTCGGAAAATCCATGTCTGCTTATCATCTGTTCTTTATAGGCGGACAGAAGCTTGGGTAATTGAATCCAAAACAAGCTATACGAAAAAACCGTAAACAAACACGATACCAGCCTATTATACGCCTAAGAGAGATAAATATGAGGTAATGGGAGGAAAATAAACAAAACAGGACCCCAGATCCAGATGAATATTGAGACATCCACAAGTAAAGAACAGTGAAGTTGCAGAAGGCGATGTTGATCGAAAATTAGACTCCCAAATCTAGCTATGTCAAAAATTCTTTGCCAAATTGAGTGTCGGCGAACTTACTTAGAGTGCAGATGACTTAGTTTTGTAGAAGAATCATAATAGATGAGTTTATGAGGAAATTATTTGATCAGTCTTAACCAAAGCATTGCCCGAGCTGCAGCTGATATAACTCACCTGCGGAGTTCAATCTCAACATCAGCTCGCTCTATATTTCTTCTAAACAGACCAGTCAGCCTACCGTTTATTGGGCTGATTGGACAGTCAGAAAGTGTGATTGGGCTTATTCAAAGTGCTTTCCCTACAATAACAGAGTGAGAAAGGTAGCGCATCCTGCGGACAGATATTAACTGGATCATTTTCGTAAGTTTCCAACCGTCCACTCTTGTTTTTACCTATTGATACCTGAGGTTGTTTCAAGTTCGAACAGAGTCTTGAGGAGACTGTGGCTTAATTACGCACTTTTCCTAGTTCGTCTGCGCTGGCTAACTATTGATTTGATTTGAGTTTTGATTCCATTACAGTTCCTATGTGAGGACCTTTACCGCAGCTTGCTCGCCTCCACTGATAATTTTTTAATAACATTATCAAAAACGGAATTCATCAGTCTTGCAGAGGGTGAGTGGCCTAGTGGTACGAGGCGCCGCTATGACCGGATCGGACCCAGGTTCGATCCCGTCCATGGTTCAACCAAGCTCTCTACCCTCCGGAACTGGTAGATTGGTACCAGAGTAATGTGGGGGTAATTGGCTGGACCCCGCAAGTCGCTGTAAAAGGCTCGCACGCATTCAGTAACCAATTCGACTACGAAGAAGAGTGCATGCTGCAGAAAGTACTGAAGGCACTAAATCCTTTATCCATTTAATCTGCAGCAGGGAGTTTCCAAGAGCTATTTCATCGTGTGTTCGAAGTTTAATATCTGTGATAATTATTTAGTGTGTTGCTTCGCCAGAAAACACTTCCAATAAATCTGTGTATCGTTGGTTCCTGAAGAAGATATGATCTGAAAATAACCACATGAAGTAATTGTGGTTTACTGAGTCGTTCTGTTGACAAAGACACCACACAAAAGTAACGATTTGAGAATGGCTTTCATTTGCTGAAAAAAGAAGTTGATGAAGATAAGTTTAATAACCATTTGACACATTTATCCCTCAAAAACCTCAGTAACATCACGAGCAAGACACTACAGAGTTACAAAAAAGATCTTGCACATGCGAACAAAATTTAGTACATTTCACTCTGTAACGCGTGGTTCGATCATAAAGCACAGGTAATTGATCAACTATAACTTAATAAAATAATCAATACTACTAAACCAAAGGTGCATAAAAACCTATATACAAAAATTAACGCATTTAGCAAAACAGAGCCAAATTTTGCGAACCGGTCTAGGTTGAAGATTTATTTCATAGTGAAGCAGCTTCAAAATTTGTTGTCTCCTCTTTTACCTTTCTTTCCCAGAGGAAAAGAAAACTCGAGATAGAAAGTGAATGCAAATGATTCTTGGCTCACAAAAAGAATGAGATACTAGAGGTTGAAAATTTGAGTAATTGAGTGTTTACCATCCTCGCTTTCGTGCCTGAACTAACGTACAACTGTGTGAAGACATATGGAAGGCATAAAACGAATTTGGGCTCAGTTTGGAGAGCTCATCTTTCTGAAGCAATAAAAAAAATTGAGCGAATAAAGCGATCTGGGTCTCGCAGCGCGTTCTGTGCAAGTGTGATTGCGAAATCTGTAGTTATTTTATGTATTATCTGCACTTTCCTTTATAAAATAGAAAATCTCAGAACACAAAAGAGCCTCTTTCCAATTTTAAAATTTTTCCGTTTTGAAAGTCGGAATCTTTTGAACAAAAGTTTTACAGCGACGTTACAAACACTAACAGTTCATCCTAATTTTCGTGGCATGTCTAATATTCAAATCAACTTGATGTGCTAAACCGGTCGCGACGATGAAAGAAGCTAATATGTGGGTTTGTTATGGGATGGTCGGAAGTTACTTCCTAGAAACGGTAACGGCAAGCCCTAATACGATACTCACATTTGAAAAAAAAGACGCGAATGTCGCATCATGCATGAACATCCCGTCACGTGGCCATATCTCTGTTCAGAGTGGACGAATTCTGCATCTGAAGCCACTGTTCGACTCAGCTCGGCGCGGCGCATCTTCTGATATATAGAAGTATCCACGTGGACACAGTAGGAGGTCAGATTCCACGAATTGTTTCAATCTAGGTTGCCCAGTGGGTGCAATGAATAAGCACACTGAGTAACCTACCGTAAGCAAAAATCTGAAACGGTTCGTGGAATCTGACCTCCTACTACGTCCAAGTGGACACTTCTATACATCTGAAGATGCGCCGCGCCGAGCTGAATCGAATGGTGGCTTTAGATGCAGAATTCCTCCGCTCTGAAGCGAGATATGGCCACGCGACGGTGATGTTCATACATGATGCGACATTCGCGTCTTTTTTTCAAAAAAATGTGTGTGTATTTTATAGATTTTGAGTAGTAACAGAGTTGTCTTGCGGAAGGGTGGAACAGAAACGATTAACTTAGACAATGTCTGGAGCGAGTTGATTCAAACAACCTCCAAATGACGAAAGATGTCAGACATTATCTGAGTTTATAGCGCAAGTCCGATAATATTCAATGGAGTTTCTTCTGTGCGGCAAAAAATCATCATCTCGGTGGTGCAGATACATTAACTCTCATTAAATCTTCATTATATACTTTCAAATGTACAAACTACGCTCTCCTGAGACTGAAGAATTAATTAAGGCAACATTCATAAATACGACTAAATAGAAGTCTTCACAAGTGTTGTCTCACTGGTACAGCCTGGTATATGCAATAAAGAATTGCATCTGCGTCTTTGAAGGATCAGCATCACAGAGAGAGTCACCGTCGTCATAAGTGACAGAATAGCCACTCCTAGCAAGCAGATACCCAAAGTAACCAGGTTTTCCTCGCCGACAGTCTCGACAATGTCTGAAAATTTACGGGATGTCATTGGACCTTACCAGGGAAGCGTACGGACTCAGTGTGGCTTTTTCCAGCAAAATGTGTCTGGGTATGTAGGTCCTGGCACGCAACTTAGAAACAGCCTATCTGCCAAACGGTGGCCTGGATTAAGATGAAACTTTTGATTCAACTGGATTGGCAGCTGGAAGATGAGGCTTTCTGACCTAATTAAGGCCACTCGCGCCCGCGACGCAGTCTGCGTCTCTTTATCGCGCGCGCTTTCTGATCCTACTCCAGCCATAACCAGGTCATAAAGCCACGCCTTCCAGAGGCCAATTCGGTTGAATCAAATGGTAAGTTTACGAACCTACACTCATGGCATTCCGCTGGAAAAGACCACTTCAAGCTTGTATGCTTCCTTTGTTAGGTACACATACTCTACTTACTTTTGACAAAAACTGAAGGCTGCGGTGTTTCACTGAGTTTGGGAATATCACAAAACGTATAATCTGTTGTGCTCGTACATAATAAGAATTTTATTATGTAAGCTACTTCAGTATTTTCCAAGGTAGAAGTGAATAATCTGGAATCATCAATTTTTTCTAGAACAATATAAGTCCAAGAGCAACTTACTGTGCAAACGGACCATCCGCCCATATTCCCACATCTTCCCCGCCATGAACACCGTATTGCATTGGTATTGCTGTGGGTAATCTATACAGTGGATGTGCTGAAAGCTTTAAGCTATCTTACAACAGAATTCAAATGGATTTTGTCCGCGCGGTACCTCTTTTCTCCTCATCTAAGTTCATGCTTTCTACTTCAAATCCACCTCGAAATCCAGGCCCAGTAGCAAAGAAAATTCCTGGCACTTCGTAGAAAGTAGTCTTTGCTTTTGTCTTTTCCTTCCCTTCAGTGCTTTTCTTGTCAAAGTCTTCGCTTGTAACCACCTGACTGCCTGTAAAACTACTATGAATTAAAAAAAGGAACTCTGCCAGTAGTTTTTAAACTATGTGTAGCTCAACTTATTAACTTTTCTGAGAGTTTCCGTGTACTTCTATTCTAGGCAAAAAATGCGGTTACAGGCAATACAATGTTTACAGTACTTTTTGAACTTCAGGTACTTTAGATTACAAAATTACTGCTTACGCTTGCATTGTTTCAAGACATTCTGTTTTTTTCTCCAAAACCTATAGCAGTGCATGGAGTTGTTTGTCTAAGAAATAGTCTTACGGCCGACAGAAACTGAACAATTGAAGCTAAAAAAATTTCTTAATTCAGTATGAAGAGAGAGCGTGAGGTTTAGCCCATCCAGCAGATACTACAATGTCGGCGATACAGGTAAGCCTCCGAGACTTCAATACAGTTTAGATTTTTGTGAATATTAGCGTTTTGGTTAAGAGCATATTTTAACAGGATGGATTTCACAAGGGATCACAGAAATCGGCGCATGCAAACACTAGGTCAAAGAGCGGTAACGTAAGGATTACTGCGTGAACACAAGTCTCGGAATCTTTAAAACAACAGTTCTTTTACTACATTCAATTTTCAACAAATTTCAACATATAGAGCACTGCATGGCAGTCATTCCTAGCGCAGCTCCTTTACTATTTTCACACCCCGACCCTTCACTTTGAAATTTCAGATTTTAGAAGCATTACCTCCCCCGAGGAAAGGTCGCGAAATTCTCAAGGGTTACTTAAATGAGTATAAAAAGTAGTACGACTTGTTTCTACTTGTAAATTAATTTCATTATTAAAAATTATCAAAAATCGAATTTAGCCTGTAAAGAATTTTTTTCGGCTTTCAGAAAGCATACCAAAATAATTTTCGGAGTGCTTGGCTGACACCACCCATTTTCATCAGAAAATTTTTTTTGTTGCCCCGCCCCCCCCCCCCCCCTCGAACGGAAGACCTGGGTACGCCACTGCCTTCTAGTGCTTCGAAAATATTTCACAATTATTTCCCACCTTTGAAGAAGCTTCTCAGAATATTTTGAAATTTCCTTGCAGGAGAGAGTTACCTTTTTGCGTCTTGCCTCGCATACGATATAAAACCCCTATAAAAATCATGAAACAAGGATTCAAGCAAAAGCTTGGCCCAGCGGCAATCTACCAATGGCAATCATTGTACTCATGCAGATAACTGGAGTAAACAATTATGAAGTATTTGCGGAGTTTGAAGTCGCCCTTCAAGCCGCTCAACTTTTCAACTTTAGAAAAGCAAAAAAACTTACTCAAAATGGTCTTGTTGGCAGGTAAGTAACCAGGTAGTGTGACCGCATGACCGTGATCAGCGGTGACAATAATCAACGTCTCTGATCGGTTTGTCATTTCTCGTGCCTTGAATAACAGACAACTTTATATGTTGATCCAAGAGGGCCTGATCAGCTTCAAACCTTTTTTATTGCCTCTTCAAATTCATATAACTCGCCAAATGCAAGATGCATTTGATTATTATGCTCCGCAGTGTCGATATTGCCGCCTAGAGAAATTTAAGGAATTTTTTTGAGAGAAATCAGATAGTTGGAAAACCGTCTGTTTACCTTCTACCATCAGGAAAAAACCGTGTTCGCCCCCTTGCAGTTGTTGGATAGCTTTCACAGTCATTTCCGAAAGACGAGGCACTCTTGTTTCATTCTTTAGTTTCTCCTCAAGAAAAAAGGGAAAATGTGATTCGGCGAAGAGACCTGAATAGGGGTGTGAGAAAATTTCATTATTTCATTGTAGATTTCATGAATATGTAAGTACGCCCTTTTTCTCACAACATTTCGAAAGAATGGAGCTGCATTTTTAGAATTTCAACGCAAACAAACTTAAGCGAAGAACTTCTAAAAAATTATGAAATTTGTTAATTAGATTCACTAACCTAGCAGTTTTTCGCCGTTTGCTTCATGGGCTCGCAAACCAGCAGTACTGGTTAACACTTTCCTATTACCACCTAGGTTGCTCCATTCAATATCTATGCTCCTACCATCCTTGCGCAAGCCACCTCGTGATTTATCTCTGAGATTCCTTCTTCCACCACCCATCAGCACCTAAATGTCAATTTTTTTGAATTTTAAAAAATTTGCTTACAGTTAAAAATGGATATTCATCTAGGCGTCACACTAATTAAAGTCGGCTTTTCCACGAAACTTTTGATCACAGTATTTTCAGATGGCAGAGGAGGCGAAAAATTCACGAATGTAGGGGCGTGGCCTGTCCCATTCTTCAGAAAAGATTTGAGAAGGGCATATCAGATTTTGCAAGCTTTCTGGCCTTTTTAGGAAAAAGTGAGTATGATAGCTAAGTAGAATTTTATAAATTTTTGAACGCACAGTTTCTTCATTTCCGCCTACTCCCTCCATTTTTTTCATCATGAAATAACAACTTCCAGACTATAATAGTGGAAAATGTTTTGTTGTTTTGAACATTATTTGCTAAGAATTTTCAGTGAATGGAGCTTACTTTGAATTCATTCGCAGGATAGGAAAGAAGCTGCTTAGCAATGTCGGTGCAGTTTGGAACACCGCGCTCGATAGCTTCACCATCATACTCGATATTTCTATGAATTCCCTGAAAGATAGTTCTTAAACGTACGCTGAAATATTTTATAGCAAAATTACGCTAAAAATGTGCTTACCTTTGCATAAAGAGCACCTGGAGTAGCGTGTGTTATTCTTGTCGTGGTCACAAATCCGACATCTACTCCTAAAATCCTCCTTTTTTTCATAAAAATACTTGTCAAATATTACTACTTGAATGTCATTACCCTTCCGCAAAGCTCCTTCCACTATACCATCCTTGATTTTGAGATTTTCCTGGTCAGTGCACATCACATTCGACTGCGGTTTCAAGTTGAGAAAGGTATTGTCTATCTAAAAAATAATTTATGTCATCACCATTTGTAGGATATAGAGCTTGCAGAAGGCTCTCAATTTAAATTGTAGAGCTTGGTAAAAATTCAGTTTTTGGGCACTTACCTTTCTACCTGTATACAACGCAGTAGCCGAAGCGGCTGAGTCTGTGACATGATTGCTGAACGAGCTTGTCTAAAAAAATCGTTGTGATTTTAATAGTTTTTACGACTCCACCATACCTTCACCAATCCTGCTGTGGTAAATTTCTCGAAGTACAGTGGCTCATTCAAATATTTATTGCCAGCCTCCTGGTTCTTGTTGATTCTCGCACTAGTTACCGTAGCAATGCCCATACCGTCTCCGATGAACAATATAATATTCTTCGGTCTCTTGACTGTAAACGGACATTTAGTCTGCTAGAAAGCATCACGAGCTAATAAACCTTTTAACAAATGATAAAGCTCAATATCTCGATACAGAATTCTCGTTTTAGCGTACACCTGCGCAATTGCACTATTTCATCAATCTACATACCTCGGCAAGTGTGGAACGACCACTTTTCTACTTCTTGCTTTCAATTTTGACTTACTGTCGAAGTTTCAGACACTTTTTGTTATTGCTATAAACGCTAGTTATCAGCCTGCTCATCATCTCTCGCAAATGGTGCAATCGCACTAAGGCTTCTAACATAGCCCACGCGTCCCAGGCGCGACGCGATCTGGCAATACTCCAAGTGTTTTTAACTCATCCTAAGCGAATTCTGAATAAACAAAACATGGGGGCATTTTCTTAATCTGCGAAAGTTGTACACAGTTTGAAATTGTGGTCTGCAAATGTTGGATCTCAAGGGATCGGCAGATTGCCAAATAGCGTGGCGACTGAAATCGCGGGAGGTATGCACGGGGCCCAAATACTCTGCTAAAACAGGACTACGTAGAAGTACTGTAGAAACGTAACTGCCGATGAAACTCATAGTCTCTGGAGATGATAAGGGAACATGGGACTGTAAAGTGAAGAGTTTCTGAGGGGTTTGTAAAGAATGAAATTCACTTGCATATTTTCTATTTTTTTCAATTGTTTTCATTTTACAAACGGAGAAGGCAGAATATGTATATAAAAGTGTTACAGAAAGTATGTAGAATTTTGGTACAATTTGATCGTAGCTTACCTTCTAACAAATGCGGGTTCTCCCTCAGCTTTCTGTCTATGTTGTTCCTTGCGATTATGTTCCAAAATTCGATGTCACTAGCGCCTAAAAGATCTTGATAGCACTTGTATGTTATTGTATTATTATTATTAGTAGCAGTAGTAGTAAGTACCGTTTGTAGTATTTTTGCTCATCAACTGTATATAACCAACAAAAGAAACTATTTTATCCTTGTTGTATCAATTTTGAGCAAAAAGTTTTTTCCTAACTTTCTATAACTATTCCGTTGTGATTACTACATTACTGCCGGCGACTGCAAATATAAATGACTGTAATTAGCACTTACTTAGATCCTGCAGCGAAAATGGACATAATTGCAGCAGAGAGAGTAGATTCAATATCCAAGCAGGCATCTGACCTCACCCCGTCAGGGATACCCTGCAAACTCGAGCAATTAATGATTGATCCATGGACATGTAAAACAGCAAATGGGGAAAAGACTGATGTCATCTATTATGGAAATAATGAAGGAAATTATGAATTGGAAAACAGCGTTATTGTGGTTGTGAGTGTCTATTTATTGTGATATGTGGGAGGAGGAGCTGTCCATGACATAGCAAATCGCGTCCATCGGCAAACGGTAGCGGTTCGAAAGGACGCCGCCACAGGAGGCCAATTGCTATATAACAGTGATGGTTCCCTTCTGTTTGGGAGGGGGGGGGGGGAGCGAGGGAGGGGGGGGGGGGGAGGGAGGGAGGAAGGATATCCCTTTGAATAAAGGTGCGTGTCGTTAGCCATGCCTCCGAATTTTTGGGCTTTCCAAAATTTTTGCGGGCTGGTAACCCCGACATACTAGAAAAATGGGGCCTGGCGGCAAGATATTTACAAGTTGAATTCTTGAAAATTTGGAAATTTATTTTAATTATGTAATCAACGAGTCACTTGCATATTTTTATAGCCCATATCAGTAACTCTTGAAACTTTTGCGACCCATTTGGGGGGGGGGGGTGGTAAATGTGCTTGTGCATTGATATTTGGGCCATGAACCAAAAAATGACAAAACGAGTACCAAACAGTTTCTTTCACTAAGATCTCTAAAAGCCTCGCTCTGAAGTAGAAAAAAAGCAGTGCATGTTTTGTTTGGATTTTTTATACGCGCAAACGATCAACATATCGGAATACTTCCTTGCTATAGAATTACCTTATTAATTTTCTCTTTCAAGTATTTTAATTCACTAAGTATCTCTCATCAATATTTAGATAAGATAAAACCTCTCACTAGGCGAAAGATATATCTTGCATATATCGCGACATGTTCTGCCTGTCCATGACAAACACAGGGCTAGTCAGTGAAAAACGCGGTCTCCACCAGCGAGTCCCTACGAGTCGGTGCGCATGTACCCGTTGATAATATTTTGACGCATGCTGCGCTTTAGGATACTGTAGCTCAGCTTTATTCTCTTATCGACGTATTTATGAAAGCTTTTTTCCTGGACATATTGGAGGAGCTCTCGAATTGTACCAATGCTTGGAAGAGGTTCAACATATTCGCGAGAGTACGACCCACCGGTGGGTCGTCGCATGCTGCCACAGAACATACGACCCATCGGTGGGTCGTACGTTCTTATGTGACTCTGAACATTGCAAGTTTGAGATGAAACTTTATGAGAGTAAACAGAAACAGAAATCAATCATGTTTCTTCATTTTCCTAATCAGCGAGTATCGATACAAATTCTGGGCCGCCATTTCAAAAATCTTCTGCTAAAAAACCAAATTTTCTCATCTTTACGCACCTAAAAATTGGGTTTGTCAACATCGCGAGTTTCTTGAGAAATATCCATTTGAACAGATTCTATGTTCCAGTTCATTGAAGTGCTCTCTTCAAAGATAACGAATACAAAACAAAAGTTGTCTGCAGCAATTGTACTTAGAAACCTCAAAAGCGACCGTAATTATTTGTAAGCCAGCCTAGTATTCCTTCTACAAGTTGAATTTTTTTTCGCAAATTTGAAAATCACTCATCCATAGTTTTCAAAAAAATACGATTTGTTCAAAGCTGAATAGAATGATGTCACTCAGATTTCCTTCTACTTTTCTTCAAGTCAGGATTGATGTCATGCCAATGTTACTCGCAGCCAGTAATCATTCTTAGGTTTTTCTGAATTTTGTTTCATTCAGATAATCACAAAAGGTGTGCTGATGATGCACACTGATTTGGAAAAGGTTGTTACAGCTAAACAACTTCCCGGTTGGATGAAATGTCGAAGATAGATATTGGGATAGCTCCTAGAATTATTGAGTAAAGACGAAGCAAGGACACTCTGTCAAAATTAGTTCTATCTATGTTCCGAAGCATCGTTATCTGTATCGTAATAAACTCCACAGAAAATTGTTAGATTGACCATTATTATTTTAATTTTTAAATTTACAGCTTCTAAGGCCAAAATTCTTGATTGCTGAGCCTTCAGCAACAAATCGATTTTTCAATGATGTCATAATGCGCAAGTAATTGCAGAACTTGGTAAAATTTCCGATAGAAACAAAAGCTATTAACAGCAGGCCTCTTTATCAGAAGAATTTTCATAGCATTTTCGTTTTCATTTTCACCATCATAAAGCTTCCACATTCAAGTTGTAGTCATCATTATTGCATTCCAATTTACGAACATGATACATGAACTCTTGGATAGAATACTTTTGTTGCTTCCTCAGAATATACACAGTATAGTAAATTTCAAGATTATCCTGATAAATACATATTGAGTTACCCCAAAAGTTCGTTCGCATCTACCCCCTACAAATTATAACTTCTTTGAACCTTGGTGAAGTTCCTTGTAATTATGCTAACTTAAAAGAAGAAATCATGCTTTGTACAACAGTAGCAAATGAAAAAAAAATTGCTCAAGATCGGATTTGTCGAGAGCAAAAAAATATCAAGCCCATGGTTTCACATAAATAGGATACTTTGTAGCGAATGTCTACTGCTATTTAAGTTTCTTCCTGCAACTTTTCAGTATTTTCTGTGATCTTGTAAACTTGTGATTTGCTAAATGCACTTTTGAGTAACTAACATTTGATGGTAACAGTTCTCTCACAGCTTCTTGTGTTGATTCACGGCAAAGGCACTAAAGTAATGTCCAAAATTTTCTCTTTCAAAAAAGTATACTTCCAGAATATTTTGATGTTCCGCTAAAAAGGCCAATTTTGATCAACTTTTCCTCCATTTGTTCGTATTCGCGTTTTCCCATAATAATTGAAATCAAACGCATCTCGTGATGTGCAGGATTTTTGCCTTTGAATAAAACACATTTGTAAATTCTTGTCAAGGGAAAAGAAGTTATGACTTCTTGGGAAATTGGCGAACAAACTCTTGGACCCAACCTTATATATTCGAAAAATTGGTAAAGACGTTGAACCGTTATTCCAAAACAAAGCTGCTGATCGAAGCGGATGTATGCCAAGATGAACGTAGCTGGAAAAAAGCATACTGTACTCCCGCAGCTGTCAAAATGCCGCGCATAAATCTTATTTTTTGAACATATATGTTCTACACTGGATTGAAAATGGTGTCTAACAGTGAGAATTAGAGCATACCAAGCTCCCAACGTCTTTTTCCAGATTTTTAGATACCAACATAGCGTTAATATAGAATTTGAAAAATATTTGATCTACGCAACACATATGGCTGGCACAAGCTATCGTTCATGTTGGCTGCCCCCCATCGAAACCGCTTACCACTTGGACTTTTTAGCTGAGCATTTTTTCGCCCTTATCTGGGCATCGCAAGTAAGAGTACCCCTGACCACAATGCCGCTCAAGTCGATCTCTAAGGTATATCTTGATAACGAAAACTTTGCCGGACAGAGATCACACACTATAGGCGAGTGGCGATGAGGGGGAACCCCTGTGTGTACCCAAACTGCACGCAGAGGAAGAGACCGAACGACCTTGATAAATGGGATCTGTGCCAACCTAATGCGGTCTTGTGGTGTCATCAACGGAAGTGCGGTCTCGGCACAAGGTGGCTTCCCGAAAATGCAAAAAAAAGCGGGATTCCTTATCCGAAATATCCAAATCGACTAAAGAACGAAATGCCAACTAAAAAAGGCCTAATTTGAACTCACAAAAACGATGTCCCCTTTGCTTTTTGCCCCGAAAACGATATCCAGCTAGATTATAGGTCATATGCCGAGTCTTGCAGAAGTTCAAATTGGAATTCTATAAATACAGCTGAATGTTTGCTTGTCTGTCTGTGTCTGTCTGTGTTTGAATGTGTGTACGTATATTCCAAATAGAATTTCTTATTTCGAACCGATCCGGAGCAAACTTGGCACGCATACACGTCGGAGCGGGGCGTGTTGCAGGCTAGGTACCGCCACCGATCGATATCGATTTCATCGATTTTTCTGCAAAGTTTCACCTACTCAGATAATCGATCGCCGGGGCAGGCGGTCCGCAAACTCGCGCTCTTCGCAAGCGGTCAGCAAAATTTTGGGGCGTGGCCAAACCTTAAGCGACAGGTGCTTTCGTGCCAGCGGACAGCAATACAGAATTTTCTGCAATCGCTCGTCAAACAATTTCTTTCAGCAAACGCTAGTTGAACTTTCGGCAGGCGTTCGGATATTTTTTATGCAGTTCGAGCGTACGCCGAGCAAAGGTGAGACTTTATATGGCAGAGTGGTCATCGTTGGTTCAATTACCCGAGTTTGGGGTACCTTCTTCTACCCACGGGTTGCGCGGTCCCCAAAATCTTTGCATATTCTCGCGGAAACTCTGCGGGAATGTGGCCACTGTGCAGCAACTAATCTATGAATCCCGACACGTTCGACCAAAAAATGCCTAACATTCTCCCAAATATTTACAAGCGGACCGCAAGAAATCAGCAAACTATTTCCCGGTGCCCGCTTGCCTATAAATCGCATGGCCGCCTACCCTCAGTAATTCTCTGAGTAGGAGGCTGGGAGTTGACAGAGGTGAGTAAGTGAGCAGGCTGATTATGAGGATAATATTGACGGAGCCGGATTTGCCAGCTAGTTCCAAATATATTGCAAAGCAGCGCATATATAAGGTCAGTCTAGTTTTCGCCAGCAAGTTTTTCCATTTATTTTTTATTTGAATATCTCAAAGGCTCTATTGGTGACCTCTGATTATGTTGGTTGCTTATCCCACTGTTTTGAAACACACAGCTGAGCCACGATGTAATTTCTCGCATTCTTTCAAGTTTACAATCTTCCTTTGGTATGCTATTTGGGCAAAGGTGACTCAATTCAGAAATTAGGAGTTGAGATTAATTAGACAGATACTTTGCCTCTTAATTTGTGCTGACTAAGATAAATGAAAGCTAAAGAACTTCATTTGGGATCGAAGTGCTCTAAATGCACTGCGAGTTCCTACTCGCACTTCTTATTTGAAGGAAAACAAACGAACATATATCGGGG